CCTGAACAAAAATATTTAACGTAGATCTACCTATTCAGATTAAAATAATTATCACTGTTTACTGTTCGGTGACACAGTCTCAGTTGTGGCACCATATAAAAGTCATGAAGTCAAGTCATGATGATTGGCAATGATTTGCTTATTCTCGGATTGTTACTGTTTTTGTTTCACCAAACGTGGAACCTGTGCAGCTCCCTATTTTTCAGAATGCCTTATGTTCAGTGACACTTTCACCATTTGTACCCACTACTGTGCTTCTCCTCCCCGTCACAGCCTTCCTGTCTTAAAGAGTCTTCCACTCATCATCGATTTCTATAATATGGGCTGAATTGTCTTTTTAGTTATTTTTCCCTAATCTCATACCATAGTATCCCTGATCTTTCCCATCTAAATTGAAAGACCGTACTTAGAATTATATTTTCAATATTTATCAACATGTTGAAAAGCAAGTCTTAGAGAAATGAGATGTAGAAGCCATGGAGTATTTTAAAAATAGTTCACTGATCTAAAATCAAATCCTGACTGCATCACTTTCTAGCTGGGTGACCTCAGACAAGGTCAAGGATGGGCAGGGCTAGTACAAAATAATACTTACTGAGAGTACCAACTTGTAGCATATGCTTTGCATAGATCACTTAATACATCAACCCTAAAAGCTTTTATTTTCACTCTTTTGGGATCTTTTCTTTCTTTTTTGCCTATTTTTAAAAGCTTAACAATTAATGAAATTAAAATTTAAAGCTCAAGTATTTAAATAATTTTCCCAGAGTCACATCACTATAATTTAAAAACAAGGCTAATCCTAAAGTTCAATGAATATTAGCTCTCCTCTCCTAGGGAAAGCATCAAGAATGGCAACTTGTATCATCAAAGGAATCAAAGATTATATGGGTGGAAATTGAAGAATTGGTGTTGTTTATATTAAAAGGATTTTAATCACCATTTTTAAAGCATGAATATTCTCTGAATACTTTGAAAATTTTTATCCGTATGCATAAAAAACACTGAAAAATTTGAAGTAAGGATCTTTTGAGGTCAGTCTTACAGGAACCAGATACTTTCCTCAAATCAATCAATGAATTAAAATTTATGGCCCAGAGAGAACAGGACAGAATGTATATGTTGGGTTGTTCAACAGTTAAGATAATAAGTTATGGTAATAACCTGCATGGAAGATGATCACATATGTGGAATTCTTCAGCTATTACAAGAAAATATCCTTAAAAAGAAACTAAAGAGACCCAGAAAATCTTTAAATCTTGATGGTGATTCCCAGCTTTTGAACAAGCTAACTCTCCAACTATGTGTCATTTTGTAATACTCCTTCAAGGGGCTTCATATTGACATCCATTTATTCAGCCAAACTTTATTACATGACATTCTATTTAAGACAGCATTACAATACCAAAATGGCCCTTCACTGTTCTGCGACTTGAGACCAGATTAATTACCATTCATCCTGTACAGCTTCTATCTAGGCAATCACAGTTGATATTATTTTTCAGTAAACCTTGAAGCCAGGCACAGTGAACCACACCTGTTATCCCAGGACTTGGGAAGTTGAGGTAGGAGGATCACTGCAGGTTCAAGGCCAGTCTGAACTACATAGTGAGATCTTGTCTCAAAAAGCTTAAATAAATAAATATGAACTTTGAATCACAGGAGTATCTAGAACCATCCAAATTAATAAAATACAAGCTTCTTCCTTCAGTGGTGTGTATTTCAAAGCTAGTGATTTCTAACAATAATTTCTCATAAACCAGGCAGCACTGTAATTGTTTTAGTTCTTTGTAGAGATTTCAAAACATTTTAAAGATTTAGATATATACATCTATAATGAATACAAACATATGCATGCACATAACAATTTGTATCAGAAGTTTATACTAAAGATTTTCAACTTTAAGGAGCTGTAACATCTCTTACTAGTTTTATTTTGTCATGTACTTCTCTTAGTAGTATGCTATAACTTGATTGGATGTAAGTGAAGGCAGAGGAACACTTTCATATCTGACTGATTTGAACCCATCAAAGATAGACAAATCACCACTAACATTTTTCATTCTCATCATCCTCAAATTAACGTGTTTGGTTTATAAAAGTCTGAGTCTAAGGCAGTGAAACAATATAATGCAGCATTTGATGAGTCTTCCAACCTACTAATTATAAAAATTGGAAGAAAATATCAGCAGCTAGCTTTTAACAAATGCCAGAGTAAGTTCATTGAATGAATTTTTTCACTTAATCCTTAAAACACAAGTGTATGAAGCAAATAAAATACATTTTTAAACACAGAACTCAGGATTGCTTGTTTATGAAATATTTTTAAGATCCTCTGTATCTTAAGTACTGGATAGAGAGACAGCAAGCTGGATCTCCCTGAGTCATGCTTTCCTACACATTTATACAACTGCATCACTCAATATTTTCTGGAATTTTCCTGTGGGTCAAAACAATTGTCAATTTTCTGCATCTATAAATTTTGACTTAACAATTTCCACTTTCTTGTAGTCCCTCACATACGGTGTGCTAGCTCCAAGAGCACCGGTATTTTTAACTTGAAAAATATTAGTAAACTAACTGCTTGGGATAATTTTTGTTAACAAATATCTAACCTACCTATCAGGACTGAGAAAATTACATGCATTACTTAGGTTAGTGTTCACTGGTTTTTCACACATTAGTTTCCTATAGAATCACTTTATTTTACATCTGGAAAAGATCATAAAAATTATTTCATATGGCTATCTCTTTTTTATAAAGAGAATCTTCAGGACAAAGAACTTTGCCTCCTAGGTCAGGCAATTATTAGTAAAAGCCACCAAGAGTCCAGTGCCTTTTTTGTACAAAAAGATAACAATTATCTTAAAATTCATATTATGCTGCTCCTTACAGAGAATGCACCAAGCATAAATGCCATATTATTACATAATACATTACCATCATTACTGAAATTTAACATTTGTGACTGTCAGTTATATAATGCTCATATGTTCCTCTGCCATTTTGTTCACAATTTTTTCCACCATAAATGTCTTATATCCCTGACTACAGTGTGGCTTAATTTTGGTAGGCACAATCTTTTGACAATTTCTTGTTTTAATGTTTCCCATGTACTTTAATAAATTATAGACCTACATAAACTGCTTAACAGTTGGAAAAATATATGTTTACATATATATTTATATATATTCACCCTCATGCACGCAGAGGGTTGTCTTTATTTTGAGCAATAGGGAGAAAATGGAGAAAATGGCCTTGCTTCTTAATAAACAGTTGAGACCGCTCCTGAGGGTAAAAATTGAACTAGAAATTAGAGGGAATAAAGAGAGTGTTGACTAAACCTCGAGGACATGTGGCCCCATATGCAAGTCAAATTGCTCAATAAAAATAGCACTAGCAGCTGGGTGCAGCGGCACCTGCCTGTGATCTGAGCTGCTCGGGAGGCTGAGGCCAATAGATTGCTTGAGTCTAGAAGTTCAAGACCAGCCTGGACACCACAGTGAAACAGTTTTTAAAAAAATAGGATTAACTAATAACGACCAAGGACATACTAAGCATCAGACACACAGCTCCTAACATTCTGCCTATATTAAACTACCCATATTTCATAACCCTAGACAATTTCACATTTTGTAGATGAAGAAATTGAGGATCTGAAGAGTTGCATCATTTTTCAAGTGAAGTAGCTTGTAGATGAAGTCATAATTCAAACACCAACTGCTTTCAAGGTTGGTGCCCCTAATCACAGGTTGATGGTAAGTGCAAAACCAGGTAAGTAGATGTTATTTAATAAAGTGCCCAAGAGTTGGCTCTTAATCCAGGATTCAATAAATGCTAGTCCTCTAGCCTTCTCTGCCCCGCACCTTGCTTTCTGGTTTCAACTCACTGCCTCCATATTTACTCACCAACTCCCTATTTCCCACCCTCACAACCATACTTCACATACTCTTCAGTCTTTTTAACAACAAAGTCTATACTGAAGTATCCAGGTCACTGAATGTCATACACACTTCTTCCTGATAGGATTTTAGCGCATGTGTGTACAATGAGTCTTAGGATCAACCTCTTCTCTTCCACATTACTTCAAGGTAAATGTAAATACACGCACTCGCTATGTTACAAAACATATGTAGCACATGCACACAGCCAGATGCCCAGCAGGATTCAGCTCAAAAAGACTTTCTCCATTTCCTTTTTATGCAGAGAAACGCACAAGTTATGACAGATGTCAAAGACGCCTGGCTGTGGTCGTGGAAACTGGGAGGCAAAGATGAAGTAAGAAATTCCATGGCCAAAGGTGGATGCAAGTCGTTACTGGCTTTTCCCAGGAGCTTGCTCCGGTCGGGTAACTGCTGTGCCTACTAGCCCAATTCGCATACTAGTCCCTCCACGGATTCCGAACTGCACTCAACCTGGAGCAGATGCACACACTATAGGGAGCCTTATCTGCAGATAAGTGGTCCCCTGCTCTATTTGCTTGCTTGCCACCGAGCTGGGAAGGTTTTGTTAGAAATTGTGGCAAACAGTCACAGCCTTTCCCGTGCAAAGGCAGCGAGCCCAGGGACGGTGAATCACGACTCGCACGGTACTTAATGGTTCACGATATCTTTCCCGCCTGTCCGCACTCAGAAGCCGGACGACAGCTTGGGCAGCCTGGGCGAGGGCCTGCGCAGACACCAGCAGCACCACCCAAGCTTCCGAGCCCACGCCGACGGCGGGGGTGGGGGGATTCGGAAACCGCCCCTCACTGATCCTCCAAGGCCAAGGGCGGAGAAGGTGCGGATAAACAACCACCCGGCCCACCAGGGGGAAGGGCAAGTTCAAACGCAGGCCGTCCGGCTCCCTGCCCCGCCGGAAAGAAACGCGGAGAAAAAAAGCGTACCACCCCCGCTTCCCGCATTCCAGCTTCGCAGCGCTCAGGGCGTCACTGCGCCTGCGCGCTCGGGGCCACGCCCTCACACCCTGCTTCGGGTGATTTGACTGGCTGCCTCCGTCGCGTAGCAACGCTTGAGTCACAGTCGCCAGGCTCTCGCGCCCTTTCCCTGATACTGCTGTGGCCCAGTCGGTCCTGTGAGGCTCCAGGGCTGTCACGTGCCAGGCCGCAAGGGCTCATGGAGGAAAAGGAGAAAAGGCAGCAGTAAGTGCTGGGGTTTATTTCCCCTTCGGAGATTTTCCTCCTTCAAAGGGAGGATTAGGTGAGACCCGGGGCGTGGTCCTAACGTTAGCTGTGCTAAACCTGCAGCCCCCTCCCCCCCCCCCCCGATTTCTAGGGTTGAGTGCCGCTAGTCATAATAATTATTTTAAAGCGCACTGTTTTCTGAGCACATACTGTGTGACAGGGACTTTACGTACATTGCCTGGCCTAAAAGTCTTCATCTTGAAATCACCTTGCCGTGTCCCATTTTATCTTAGCAGATTCTGTAGGCTTTGCCCATAACATTGTCCAGACTCTACCACTGTTGGTCTCTGCTCGTTTCCACACTGTCCCAAGGGCCGGTTCTCACGCGTGAGATACTGCATAGCCTTGCTTCCCTTCTGTCTGTCCCTCAACACAGCAGAGCAGTCTTTTTACACGTCAGTTAGATCGCTGGTCTCCGTGGGCATCGCAGGGTAAAGGCCAGGATCCCCACACACTGGTGTCCCTGCCCCTTCCTTGGCCCTGTGTACTGCTTGGCCTCCCGCTGCCAAGATGGTACTGCCTACAGGCTGCCTTGCGCTGTTCTGCAGTGATTCTCAGAGAGTGATCCCAGCCAGCATCACCCCGACTCTTGTTACAAATGCAGTTTGGGGCTCCCCACCCTACGCGAAATAAAAACTTCTGGGGGTGGGACCCAGTAATCTGAGCTTTAACAAGGCCTCCGGGTGATTACTGCACACAAAAATTTTATGAACCATTGAATCAAGATAGTGCAGCTCGTTAGAATGATGTGGAGCTAGCTAGGGACACTTTCTTCAAAAGCTTGTGTTTTTGTCTGTAGAACTGGCTGAGTCACCTAGAGAGGCTGGTTAAAAAATTCCGGGAAAACAGCTCCGGAGATTATGATTTAGTAGATTGAAATGGTATCTGTAAATCGGTATTTCTAACAAGGTCACATTGATGCCAATGTGTCTACTTCAGTGACCACTTTAAGAAGCACTCTTCTAAGGGTGGGGACATTTCTGCTGTGAAACTTTGGCAGTTCTTTGCCGGAATGCTCATTCTTTAAATATCCACTCCCTCTTCTCTTCTTTTTTCGGTCCACACCTTCACAGTGCGGTCTCCACCCTACCTAAAAATGCAGCCTACCTCCTACAGGCGTGTATTCCTTTTCCTCATTGCGTGCTTTATTGTCCTTACCACTTGCTACCATCTAACAAACACTATTTTTCTTATTTTTCATATACCTTAGCCTAGAATGTAAGCTCTGTGAGGGCAGGAATTTTTATTTCATCACTGTTACGCTCTCATTACCGCAAATAGCATCGGCACATAATAAATATGTCGAAAGAACGAATTAGTGTTATTCTTACATCTCTCAGAGTAGCTATTGTTATTATGCAAATAATGAAACTGAGGTTGATATTAAATGGGACAGTAGGATTGAATCCAGATCTAATTTCAGAGTCCACTGGTGTGTTTATCTGTGTGTTACTTCTACAAAGAGGTCACTACAAGGTCATATATTTCATATTTATGAATTATTTATAGCCATTGACAGCACAGTACTTAATCAAATGAGTGTAATCCCTTCAAAGACATGCTTCTAGTATAAATGTATTGCTGGATTACAACTATGAAAAACAGATGAGAAAAACAGATGCCAGAAGACTACAATGATAAATTAATTGATCTGAAAGTCACAACCACAACCATTAAACAAATACTCGTGTCTCTGGAAACAGAAAAGCTTAAAGTCATTTGCATTTTACAGTAATGAGAACAATTTTTGTTGGGAAGCAGGAAACTAAAGTCACAAGGATTCCGAAAGTTACCAGTGTGTGGAGTGGAGTGTGGGCTGAGGGTACACAGCTAAAGCAAAGCCAGGGTGGAAAAGCAATTCCAGAAAATTCAGTAGAAATATGTCAGTGTTCTAGTGGCAATCCGGTTACGTGGCCATTGGGGAAATAATGATGAGCAAAACCAGCCCACCTCACAGACTTTGGAGACGAGCTGTTGCTTACTAAAAACAAGCAAACAGAACTATAGACATGGATCGTGAATCGTGTCATGAAGGAAATGAACAAGCACTAAAATGGAGAGTAGATGAAGTGGGGAGTAAACTCTAGGAAAAGCTGAGGCAGGGGCTTTTGACTTAAAACCTACGTGAGCAAGCTGTGCAGGGAAGTGGGGAAGAGCCTTACAGACACGGAATGACATGTGCAAATGGCCGGAGGAGAAAATAACTGAAGACTGGCTGCAGAAATGAGGCCAAAAGGTGTAGCTAGAGCGGGTCACACTGGGACTACAATGGCGAGGCAGCTTTTTTTATAAACTTAAGGCCTTGTTTCACTTGAGAAAAGAGATGAACCTGGCTTTGAAGTAAGATGAAGTTATACTTTAAAGGCTGTGTACAAGGCTAATCAGAACTACCCATTTTCACTATAGATTTGGATCTTACAAAGTCACATTTTGTGGGATCAGGGCTTTTTGGTCTATAAAAGCTTCTACATAAAGTATTTAAATTAATATATTTGCTATTTTTCAAATGTCTGAAATTTTTTAAAGTTTCCTTTTATAAATGTCTGGTTGCCCTTTTTTAAAAGGAAAAAGTGCCATAAACTATTTCTTTAATATGTTTTCTCATTTAAGTGTTTTGTTTTGTTGATACTGGGGATTGAACTCTGCCATAAGCTGAATCCCCAGCCCTTTTTTAATTTTTCATTATGGCATAGGGTCTCCCCAACTTGCTAAGTTGCCCAGGAGACTACGCACACCCAGCTAGCAGTTTTTATTTTTATAGCAGTGTAGTTATTAGAAGCAAAAAAGTGTTCAGAGTGAGTTAATTGTTTTGCCTGCACAGTGGTATTTTCTTTAAAAGATAAGTAACGGTCACTAGACAGCTTTTATATGCTTGGCAGGTCAGTTCGTAAATATCAAGTAGTTATAGGTACTTGCCCTGATGACTGAATTTAGTAGGAAAAAGTGGGAGAAAGCCATCTTTTTGCAATAAAATTTTTTAGAAAGTATTCAGATTAGCATATAATTTAGCTATGTACATAAATACTACAAACATGTTTGGTAAGTGTGATCAAATACCACTGTTTACTACAAGCAATTGACAGTCTGTATATCTATTACATAATAATGAATAATCATTATTAACAGATTTCTTTATATCTTATGTGATTTAGAATGAGAATAGACTGTCCCAAATTTAAACAGCATAAGCCTATCAAAAACTATTAATAAACCTAAATTTTCTTGACTGATGCTTAGAGTATATTTAAATCTCATTTAATTTAATTATGACTGCGCTGAAATGCTCATTGGGGTCAATTTTTTACTATTTACTTTTGTTTTACAGACAGCATAAAATAGAAGATGCTGATGTAATATATGTAACTGAAAAAAGGGAAGAAACAAAAGATGAAAAAAATCCTGGAAATGGCATACAACACTCAAAACCATGTGTGAGGAAAGGACGTGTAAATTATGCTAAATTCATTTATACAAATGCAAGAATATATAATGAGCCAGTTCCTTACATGGATCCTAAAAAGGAACCAGAAGAGCAGGTTGGACAGATGTTTGTTATGTACAAATACAGATTTAGGTTTGACAGCTTTTTTGCAGTACAGTTTAGTCACTGTTTAAAGGATGTGACCATTCAGAAGAGTCCTGTGTATGATGCAGTAGTTAAAAGCAGTAATTCGAAACTGTTCTCAGTCATACAAGTAATATAATATATATATATATATATAATATGTATAATATATATTCAAGTAATATATATTTCAGTCATTTTTCTGCATTCCAGCAGGTTTTAGCCACTAAGTGATGCTTGAAGATTACTAAAAAAATTTCTATAATACAGTCTTTATGATATATATTCTAATATAAATTTCCTATGATGCTTAGTAATTCAGATACTTTCTACAAAATAATAGACCACTTTTTGAAAGCATATAAAGTGCTCACAGCCAGGTGTGGCAGCATACACCTGTAATCTCAGCACTCAGTAGGCTGAGGCAGGAGGACTGCCATTGGTTCTCGGCCAGCCTGGGGTTACATAGTTCAAAGCTGGCCTGGACTGCAGAGGAAGACCCTGTTTCAAAAAACAAAACAAAACAAAAGTGCTAAGAGATAATTTTTTATTTAAATTACTGTATATCCTTTTATTTCTGTAATTTTCTATCAGAAATATTTTACAGGTAATAACATATACTCCAATGACATTAACATATGCTAAACAAATAGTACACTTGTGTTTTTGACTCAGGATGGCTGGCCTGGTCACATCCCTCTTATTTACTATGCCACACTGGATCTGTTGTATTAGTTTCCTATCACTGCTGTTACAGATTACCACAAACATTGACTTGTAGCAACACAGATTTATTTTCTTAACAATTTACAAGTTCAAAAGTCCAAAATTAGTCTTCTTGGCTGTTGGCAGGGATGGTTCTTGCTGGAGGGTTTAAAGGAGTATCTGTTTATTTGCCTTTCCATCATCTAGACTCCGTTGCTTTGCCCGTTGTACTTTCTCTTTAAATCCAGCAGCATATGGGTAGCATTTTCACGTACCTCTCTGACTGACTCATCTGCCTCCTCCTCATACAGCCCCTCATGGCTATATTGGGTCTGGCCAAATAATCCAAGCTAATCCGCCCATCTCAAGATACTGAGTCACATCTTGCCCTACTCACTTTCCTGGTTGCTAGGACACAATAGCTGACACCCATAACTTAAAGGAGAGATTTATTTTGGCTCATGTTTTTAGCTTATAACTGATTGTTTCAAGACAGGAAGGCATAGTTGGAAGGGTCGGGCCAAGAAATGCCGTTCATGTCACGCAGCAAGGAAGCAGCGAGCAAAGGGTGGGAACAGGAAACACCCTTCCTGCCACCCCACGTGACCCAGCCCACCGCTTCACACAGGCCAGCTGGTAGCACCCCTAATCCAGTCCCTTCCACAAACCTCTGAATGCATGAGGTTTTGGGGGACATCCAGACACAAACCAGAACACATCTTCCAAATCCCTTTGTCAGGGAAAATAACGTTCACGTGTTTGGAGATAAAGACATAAACATCTTTGTGGATGGAAGAGCATTTTACACAATAAAATTCACCTGTTGTAGCGTACAGTTCTGGGTGCTCTGGAGGGACAGAGTGGTGTTACTCCCCCCTTCCCATCTGCAGTCATTTTCTTCCCTACTGCAGCCCCAGAAACTACTGGTGTGTTTTCTATAGTTTTCAATCCTCCCAAAATGATAGATTTACAGTATCTCTATATTGGTGCATATATCACTTGTTCATTTTTTGTTGCTACTGCATTCTAGCTATGTGACAAGTAATTTAAGATTATTTCTGCACAAAATAAGGATAGCAATCTTTTTCACTGGGTATTTTATTTTATTTTATTTTTATTTTTTAATTTTATTTTGAAAGTAGTAAAAATGCAACAGCGCAAGACAGAACAAAGCCAATCGAGACAATGCAGTGAAATTGGTACAGGATTTCACAGTAGGATACTGGGATAGTAGTAATAAGTACTATGCTATATCTCTTTAACTTAACAATAGCTGTCCAGTCAATTATGTATTGTAAAATCAAACCAAAAATAGAACATTGTAAAACCAATTGAGAATACTGAATAGAGCAAAAGAAACATAACAAAACAGTGAAAACAACCTTTGCCTTCAAACAGAAGATAGAAGGAAATCCCCCATATTTGCTATACTGCATGTGGCCATCCTCCCAAGAGATGCTGAGACATCTATCCCCAGAAGCTATGGTGGGGGGAGGAGGGCGGAAAGGGGAAGGATGCTTGATTTTCAGTCCGCGTGGCAGTACGCTCACAGGTAATGGTTCTCTTCCTAGCCCACGCTGCAGGTGCTTACCAAAAGGGCAGAACAATAAGCTGCTTGAGTCCCACCATGGCCGGATCTCGGGAGTTCTCTCACTGGGTTTTAATAAGTATTGAAATAGATATTCCTGTATGAGGAATATAGTAGTAAACAAAATAAATGGAGGTGGGGGAATCTTGTCCTTGTGTTGCTTACACCGTGGTGAGAGAATATGCAAAGTAAGTAAGCTGTGTTAGGATACTGAATGGTGGTAACATTTGGTGTGGAAGGGGGCTGAGGTCTGCTGCAGGCAGAGCTGCAACTTTAGGTAGGTAGTCACAGAAAGTGTCTCCAAGAAGGTGACCTGAGGAGGGTGTGAACTGACCACACAGAGACCTCGCAGAGGAGCATTCGTGATGCACAAAGGAAGCATCGAGCATTAGCTCTTAGCCGCAGAATCCTAGTCTTCTGTTTTCTGCACGGTTGTGGGAACTAAGGAGCCCACTGTCCTCTGCTGAGGATAAGATTCTGTCATAGGAGACCTAACAGAGTGCTGGTCCCACGAGTGATTAACAGACGGTAATGAGAATATGGCACTGCAGAGATAATCATAATATCTCATGTAGGTGTCTTCCAGTGTAACATTTGAGGAAAGAAAAGTGTGCCAGCTGGTGACCTCCCGGGACTGGCAATGTGAGCTTTACCCTCCTCCACTTCCTTCCTCATCTCTGTCAGGGTATGAGTTAAATGAAGTTATGATTTCATCTGGTATCTAAATGGAGATTGCTTTTGTGAGCTTTTTACACCGATGAGATCAACTGTGCTTGTCATAAAACAGCACACTATGGCACGGTGCAAATATGAGCTCTCAGGGAAGGAATTCTATGTCAGATATGTTTTAACATCATGCAGAAAATCCTGGCAAGTGTGGTTTCCAGGCTACTTCATTTCGTAAACTTGCTCCTGCAGGTGCTTTTATATCCATTTGAGATTTGGAATAAATAAATCATTTTCTTGTTAAGCTAGACCTATAGTAGGAAAATAAATTTGGTGCAGCAAACCAGGTTAGTATAAAATTAGCCTGGTTCAAGAATAGAAATCTGGCTGGGCATGGTGGTACACATCTGTATCTTGAAATTCTCATACAGCAAGACCTAGAGAAAGAAATGAGAGAGAGACAGAGAACAAGAGGTGTATAACACAAAAATTTAAAAATTAGTTCCAACTAATTTTTTCTTATTCTGTAGTCTGTGAGTATGTACAAATGCATACTGTTAGGAGCTGCTGTCCACAAGGCCAAGAGACAGAGTGCTAGACCTGTAAGGAATGACGAATTCTAGTTTGAAGTGAGTGAGAGGATGGTAAGGCTGCTAACAGATATGGATGAGGAGAGTTACAGAGAAGTTGGGAGCTGCAGTGCAGAATTATAGTCAGACGTGATGTGGGTATGTAGTGACTAGAATGTTCTTAATTTCAAAAACAGAAATAGTAAACTTTTAAATAAACTCATTTTGAAAGACCCAAGGAATATTAATGCTTGTTTAAGATGACAAGTTCTTTTTAACAGTAGGCTTGGTTGAAAAATTTATAGTAATGCTAGCTTTAAAATAAAGTTGCCTAAATACTTTGATTGATATGTTTTATGTATTTTGCTAAGATAATATATTTAGAACTCAGCACCAAATGAGTTGCTATTGGTTTATAATATTTTTTAAGTAAAAGTTTCATGTTCTTGGGAGATAAAGCAACAGTACTAGAAAAAGTAAGGGATTTTTCTTTTTGTGTGTTTTTGCTCAGTCACTTCCAATGAAAACTAGTTTGCTTGTCTTGGGTTTCTAAATATTGTACTTCAAAAGAGATTGTACTAGGTCAGTCTTTTCCAAAGTGTATTTTTCAGAGTACTGTCCTTTTCCTGCATGCTTAAAATAAATTCCCAAAGTCATGTAGCTTGGAAAAGCTGTATTTTTATAATATCTCTGTCAGAGCTTTACAGTTATAGTTTAACTTTATCTCACTATTCCCCCAAATTTATTTAACTATGGGGACCTGTTTGTATAACATCTATCAATATTCTAGAGAATTAGTGTTCCCCCAAATATAATTTAGGAATAACTGTTTGGAAAGACAATGCTAATTGCTTACAAAGAGTTTTTCCAGCATTCCTAATATCTACGCACTGTAACCAGTGTGATCTTGATTGCTCTAGTGTTTGTAATAGAACTTCAATTCTCTAAAGCCACTGAGCTCTACAAAAGATGTCATTGTCTATGTGTAGGTTTTGTCACAAGTGTGTATTTCCTTGGGAGTCCCCCAAGTACTTACGTTCCACCGATTGCCACTGTTACCACCTGCTGTCTTGGCCAGGCCTCCGCAGCTTCTGCTATGGATCCCAGCTTACCACCACTTGCATTCTCTGAACTAATTTCTCCAGGACGCGTGACTTGATTTTATCACTTCTTCCTTAAGGATTCTTCCATAGTTTGCCAAAGAATGGAAAATAAGTAATGTTTACTACGACATTTCTGAAAGCTCAGGCATACTAAGAGTATAACATAGACTCCCGGGCATTGGCTTCTAATGTGGCCAATGAACACATGCTAAAATGTTAAGCTTCTCGGGAGGGGGAACAGTGAACACCATCTTACCTGGCCCCCACTGTAAGCCTCCAGTCACTTCTTGACATGGAGGCCAGCGACTGTCATCCTGAAACAGGAAAAGAGATAGACCTTAGGAAGGGTCAGGAAGGATTCTTCTTCCTGGGTCCAAAGTTTTAAACTGGCAACAACTATGCAAACAACTAAGCAAAATCTTGTCTAAAATCTGAAGCATAGCCTATCCCCTATGACCTAGACAAAGCCTTCACACGTGGTGACTTTTCCTAGTTTAGCTTATTTTGTCATAAGTGACTGTGCATTAACCCTTAAGTCTGATGAATCACAGAAAAAATTTATTAGTCCTTCCCTTGTGTGAGAAACAAGCCTCCATCTATTTAAGTTCATAATCTCTTATGAGCAAATTCTTGGACTGAAAAGGGGTATAAATATGCATGGTGCATACAACACTCCCCCTCTTCCAGGAACAAACCATACTTTTCAGGCAAGGGGAAGACTCCAGAGATAGGGAAGATAACAGTACAGTATTCTTGAAACTGTAGGATTTAATTCAGTGAAGATGCATCCAATCTATAAAGGCAGAACACTTCTGCCAACTACAGGGTCAGACTTGGAAATAAATTTTGATAAAACTCTCAATTCAAATAATTTTGCTTAAAGGCTAAACTGATATCTCCACTTTAAGAAAAGCTTCAGCATTACTTTTTTTTTGTTTTGAGACAGTGTCTCACTATGCAGTTCAGGCTGGCCTTGGGCTCATTTTGTAGCCCAGGTTGGACTCAAACTCACAATGATCCTCCTGCCTCAGCCTCTCAACTGCTGGGATTACAGTCATGCACCACCATGCCTGGCACTTGCATTACATTCTTTTTTGAGAAAAAAAATTAATATGCACTAAGCATTTCCTCCTGGTTCATACCCAGGAGAGTATGAACCTGTCCTTTTCCTGCATGCTTAAAATAAATTCCCAAATAAATTCATACCCAACTCCTGGTTCATTTCCCCAATAACTTGGGCATTAGCAAAATGAGTTTCTGATCAAAATTAGATACTATAAGATACGCCTTTTATATGTAGCCTTTTGATAGGAGAACTTTCTCAGTGTTCTTTTAATAGAATAGAATACTCTTTTAATAGAATACTGCTAGGATTTGAAAGTTTGTTCCTTCCAAAACTTATGCAGAATTCAATTGCTATTATGAAACTTTTAATAGTTGAGACCTTTAAGAAATGACTAGGTCATGAAGGTTCTGCCACACAGGTGAGATTAATTCTGTTATAAAAGGGCGAGGTGGATCCCTCTTAAGTTCCTTTCACTGCTCCACCTCTCCCCATTTACGTTCAGGACAACGTCTTAGGACTAGAATTGCCAAACCTACCCTCATCAGAGTACCTTGCTATCAGACTTCCCAGCCTCCAGAACTGTGAGCCAATAACTTTCTCTTCATTACTAATTACGCAGTCTGTGGTGTTTGGTTACAGCCACACAAAAGAGACTATGACATTGCTTAGAGGTCCTTTATTTTCGTTTTTGAAGGAATGTAGTTTGTGCTTGTCTGGGGTAGCAGCCCACAGGAGACTTGATACAGCAGAGCAGCACGGAGATGAGTGTGTGAGTAGAGGAGGGCTGAATTGAGGCAAGGCTGCTGCCTGCTAGTGATGGAGCCTGAGGAAGTGACTTGATCTCCTGGCAGTTTTCTCACCTATAAAATGGATGTTCTATCTCACAGAATTGTGGTGAGCATGAGGTGAGGCCTACAAATCCCAGAACCTGCAACATAATGAGCACTATCATACGTATGAGGTGGAGAGGAGGAGAGCTGCCAGAGGCAGGCACTGTGACGCCTGTAAGACATGATTATTTTTAGCCAGATAGTGAGAAGTCGCCATCTGTTTAGTAATCTGCTCTAGAATTTTCTCAGCACCTATGTTAAGTAGTCTTGTTTTTAAAATTCATTTTGTAGCCCATTCTGAAAATAAAGGGCATTAGCCAAGCTGTCCTCTAAAATCCCTGCTTCACAAATGTCTGTGATTTCTGGTCACCCTTCACACGTATCCATTATTCCATTACTCCTGGCTGTAGTTTGCAAGAGGCCGAAAAGCCAGCACCATTTGAAAGTGGTAAGGTGAGACCTAATTCTGTCATCCGCCATTCATTTCTTGCATTTCTCTTTGGCGTGGTTCATTGATCTTTTTCTCAGTCTCAGGTTAACTTCATTTAACAAAGAACCTCAATTTGAGAAGTCCAGTCTTTCAGCTTTGAACAGTGTTTTCCTTTCCCACTTGTTATCCTTTCCTTGATTACTTCAGTTTTCCCTAGAAAAACCTTTTTTTTTTTTTGCTGCATTTAGCATATTGTATGAACTTCTAAGTTTCTTACCCATCTGACAAGTTGACTCTATTAAATTTTATTTTGAATTTTATGTCATGTCCTTAGACATGTCTGTCTTTTTAAAAACTAAGCTTCCTTGAGAGCTGACTCTGTGCAGCCACATAGATTTCTCTAGATGCTGCTTCCTTTTGGATAAGTATCGCCTCTATTGTATTGTCAGAAATTTATAATTAGAATCACATATTCATTCTCTTGAATCATATTTTATTAGACTCAGACTGTGAAATCATAGATGGCTTTTCAAAGGCAGATCCACTTTCTTATCACCCACGGTAGGTACTTTATCGTACCCACGGTTACTTTATTCCCTGATCATATCCAAGAGCCCCTAGCTGTCACAGTTACCTTCCCCACCCCGGTTCTCTTCTACCTGATCGGGAAGTTTTGTAACTTCCAATCAGAGTTAAATTGAGCAACAGTCTCTACTTCCTCAGTGTTGAAGAGATTTAGTGGTCACATGTGCTAATGAAAGATCTATCAGTGCTCCCTCTCCTACATGCCTAGGTGCTAGTATCAAAAATTTAGTAATTTTCAAGGTATTTTCTCTTAAAACAAAGTTTTTCAGTGTGAGCTGCAGCCATCTTTGTGAAACAAAATAAAAGAGAAAATAAATAGAAAAATACCTGCGTGCCCTGCAAAAGAATCGAAACTTTCGTTTCAGTTTTATACATACATTACATTGTGTGCTCTTACATGATAGAAAACGTATTTTATTGGTATGAGACTAAAAACCTTGAAAACAACCATTTTAAATAATAAATGACTTATATTACCGTAAGAAAATTATAGAAATAATTTTAGATAAAATTATAACATATATATATACATATAGCATATAATATTATAGCACAAAACACTGAAATATAACCTATTTTGTTAAATTTTACCACTTCATTTTTGATAGACATTAGCTTAGGAATTTAGCAGGTGTACTTAGGTGAAAAATATATGATAATTTACTTTTAGGTGCCTTTGAAGAACCATAATCTTTCTGAAAAGGTATTCCTAGATTTCAGAAAATCCAATAACTTATTGATTTAATTGCTAAACATTGGTAGATATCAAGCAACACATGATAATGTCCAACAATTTCAATTTTGCATTTTCAATTTTTTTTATAGTGTGACTGGTGGTCACATGATGAAGCACTAGAACGTGGCTTCCAACCACTTTATGATACTCAGAGCACCCAGAGAAGTGACTTCCAAAAACCAACATGTCCATTGGTTTTGCCAGTCAAACATAGCAGATTGCAGAAGCCTTCCTGTGGAATAGGTAAGGTTAGTGGAAGCAAAATTTCGTTTTTATCACATCAGCATACTGTTATCAAATCAGGATGTATTAGATGTGATGATGCCACCTGAGAAAATTACTTCTCTGTAGGAATTAAAGATATACCAAGAACAGCCCTTGACAAATTCGTTATCCCTTCATAGTGGACATCGTGTCTCTAAATGCTTAATATTCCATAATGAAAATTATACTGATAATATCAGCCTCCAAACCAGAAACTTAATAGCATTCTTCTCATTATTGTTGCCAGCATATTTTAAAAACTACCACTATTAAGATAGTAGGTAACACTAAAAGCAATATTTCTCAAAGTGTATTCTGAGGAACACTAGTTTTGCACTGTTTAAATTCATAGATACTGAGGCTGGGGGTTTAGTTCAGCAGCATAAGCACCCACCTGGCAAGCGCAAGGTCAGGAGTTTGATCCCTGGTACCAAAAAAAAATCATAGATACTGCTAAAAAAAAACAGGGAAAGTAATGTTTTTGAACTTAAATTTTAAAAATTAAACATTTTTTAACTTGTAGAACTCATTTCTAAGCGTAAGTTTGATGAACTTCCAAGGACAATAAAAATGAGCTATTTTCCCCATTTGCTGATCACCACACCCTTATTAAAACCATTCTATATGACTAGTATCCCACAAGACAGAATTTGGGAAATACCATTACACAGATTATTAAATAAAATATTTTTATATTTAAAATTTATTTCAGCTAACAGTGTCATTATAATCAACCACATTTATTAGAGTTGTATCTAGTTCTTAGTTGACATCCGAGTCATCTTTGCCTCTCAAGTAGAATTTAGCAAGTTTCAGACAAGTACAGGATCAAGTCAAAATAAAAATGCGTGTGAGTACCTACTGTAGTCTTCATCCCATACTGAGTTCATAAGCCACATTTCAGATAATACACAACAGTCGTCAACAAAAGATTCTAAGGTATGATCAAATTATATGGTGAATATTTAAATAAAACAATTACAGTAAAAGACGTTCTCTACATTCTTTCTAAAGTAGTTCTGGAAGTCCTCGTGTATTTATGAAGTCGTGACAAACAAGTGAATGCTACTGCCAAGTGCCATCCAAGAGTTTTATGACATTGTTGCCATCCACCTTATCCGGCAGATTAGCACTCAGACTTCTGGGTCTTCCCCAAAGTCAAAATGACTGTGGAAGGTAAATGTTTTGAATGGATTCAGAACGTTGAAGCAGCCACAATAGCACAAGTAAAGATGGAAAGAGGACCTCTGAGCTACTTTGGAAAGAGTATGAGAAGCAAGGGGACTAATGGAAGCAGAGTCAAACCCTTTTGCACTGAGCTTGACAGGTGTGAAATGTAGAAATGTGACAAGGTAAAGGAGCGTGGGCGGGGCTGTTAAACTGCATGAATTGAGTAACTGGTAGAGGAGACTTCACTAAGGTTTGTTTGTACGGGTCTCCCTCGGGTTCAGTTTCCTGTGTTTGCTAGGAATGATTTCCTTTTGGCAGAGGGAGGACTCTTTCACGTAGGAATTTTACCTTCTTTCGGAAAAAGCACAAAGCTCAGTATGTTTTTCTTGTACTCGGTGTTTTTCAAGTGCCTTTAACTCAGTGGAGTTGACATACCAGAGCAGCATATTTTAGAGTGACATATTCAAAACTCTTTCCAAAAGCAAGTGTAGAGTTTGAACAACTTGCTCAAGGCTACACAGTGAATCATTGATTTTGGAACCCAGATAGTCTGATTGCAGCACCTGTACTCATAACTAGTACTCTGCATACCCTCTAAAGTAATGAGAGTTCCTTAATTTCAAAGGCATTGAAATGGCCCACTGAGTGTTTCACGCATAAATGAAAAAAAAATACACCCTGAAGACCTGGGGCTATAGCTCGGTGCCTGCCTGGCAGATGCAAGGTCCTGAGTTCAATTCATGTAGAGAAGAGCTAAAAGTTTCCATAAGAGAAACAAAAATATCAACATGAAACTAATAAGAATCAGATTGAAATCAAGTAGCACTGATACAAATTCACAGTGGAATTAATGTCTTCAAAGTTCACAAAGGAATATTTTTATCCTGGCGGAGGAGTTACTTAGTGTGAATATTAGAACCATTTTGTTCAAGTGGCACTCAGCATTAAACCCACCTGGAAAGGAAAGTCCTCACACACTTTTTGGTCCTTCCATTAATAAATTTCCTATGATTATTATGGATGCAATCGAGAGGCTCTCAGCTGGTAGAGCTTGTGGAGAGTGACTGGATTACGGGTGCTAGGGCTGACTTGCCCTTAGCAGGCAGGGCTGGTCAGAGGTGGCCACTGGAGGTGACCTGGTGAGGGTGTATCCCTCTCTGCTCCGTTCTTCTCCCCTGCTTCCTGGACTGCTGTAAGGTCAGCAGCTTTCCTCCACTGGAGGTCCTTTACCATGCCGGCAACCACTGTGGACCAAAGGGAACCTCTCCTTTAGGTTAGGAGGGCCAGATACAGTGTATCAGTGAGGAGGAAAGTGACCAGTGGCTGGGGCAGAAGCTTGCTTCTCAAGCCTGGCCTGTGTCCCCACCAGTCTGTCCACTCTCAGTGAACAAATGCCTTTTCCAATCCCCGCCGGGTGCTGTGATAATGTAGAAGTCATTCTAAAACTGTTTCCTTTTTCTGCTACATTCACTCCATCAGCAAATTTTGACATTGTCATACCCAAAATACATCTGAATCAGTTCATTTTCTTCTTCACTGAAGGCAGTGAAGCCACTTACTTGTTTGTGGTGCTGAGGATTAAACCCGGGGCCTTGCACATGTTGGAGAAGGACCCTAACACTGAGCTTCGCTTCGTCCCCAGAAGGATCTTTTTAAACAGCGATGTCCCTCCCTCCCCTTGTTTGGGTCCCCCAGCTGTTTTTCATTGTGTAGAGAATAAATTTCAAATTCTGTATTTTGACATGTAAGGCCCTATTTAGCTTTCCATATTTACTTTCTTTATTTTTTATTGCTCATAATATGGAGATATAGAGACAGGGACTATAATTCAGACCAAAGAGGAAGAGAAATGCTCTGAAAGTTGGGCCTATTTGCAAACCAACTGATGTAGGTACTTGTTACTGCAGCTCTATAATTTAATTAAATATTCTTATAAATTAAAATCTTAATATGAAGACAAAATATTTGTTTCTATAAAGTATTCAAAGTTGGATGCTTTGGAAAAACTTGCAGGTTCACCACTAACAAACATGCTGATGTGGGCAAAATAATTGTAAAAGAGAAGCTGAAAAGAATTTTTAAAATATTGAATTATTCTACATTCATCTTGCTTTAAATGTTATCTTTAAGTTTTATTCAGTGTTAAACAGAAACTGGAAAGAATGCGTTAGGAATGTGATTTGTGCAAAAAACACAAAGTGAAATATTCTGATCAATAGATACTTATAGAAAAGTCAGCCCAGTGTGGTGGCACATGCTTGTAATCCCAGCCCTTGGGAGGCTGAGGCAGGAGGATCGCTGTACCCTTGAGGCTAGCCTGGGCTACATAGTAAATTCAAGGCCAGTAAGGCCACCTTGAGCTACATAGCAAGACCTTGTGTAAAAAGAGAAAGGAAGAAAATGATTCGGTACTCCAAGATGGTGAATAACTTGATTAAAATTAAATGTGTAAGTAAGTTATGTTATTCTTTGCTTTAACTGACAAGTCCACATAAGGAGCAGTCACTTCTGATCCACTCAAAGGTATGTCAGGAAGAGTGGTGGGAGAGAATTGTGGATAAACGGGCTTTGTTCCAGGGGAAGTGCAGGCTTCGTCAGTTACCTCCCAAACAGAGACCCTGCACCTGTTCTGTTGAGCTATCAGTCTTGGCAGAGAGGAATCCTCGGCCCCTCTGCCTGGGAGTCCCTCTAGCCGTCTTCTGCCCTGGACTCCTCTCCTGGGAGTGAAGAACCGCGTGGCCCAAGCCGGCCTGACGTTCGCCCCACTCTCATCCCACGGGCACTTTCCCTCCGGTTTTCTGGTCTCCTCAACTCAGCTGCTTTCCAGTTTCCAAACTTGTCGACATCTTTGCCCCCATTTAGTGTGTTTTTTCTGTAAAGATATATGTCCTCTTAATGTTCTCACTGTCATTTTCCTGGGCTTGGGGAAAGAGTGGGGGATTCACAGACTGAATGTATCGTATGTGATTGGAAGCCATAATAACTGAATTACCCTCACCTCAGAGTTTAGTGTGGGTTCAGTACTTAGCGTTGTGTGATCCTGGGGCCACTTCCTATTCCATCCTCTTGTTTTATTCAATCTAGGAAATGAGAATAATGATCCTATTTTGCCAGATTATTATGAAAAATAAATGAAATAACATGCCATATGCCCACTATAGTGCTAGATACATCTAGACAACACATGGACAGTAGCTATTTCTGTTACTAATTTCAGCCCTGTACTCAGTTAGGTGTTGAACTCGGATTTAGCTTGGGGAGCCTGGCACGGTGCCTGTGTCTCTCTCTGTCTCTCTCCCCTTCCCTCCCGAGCCCGCTGTTCTTTTATTGATGTTTCTCATTACTAAGTTCATTTTTATATCTAGGGCCTAGTATAATGCTCAAGCTCAAGAAATATTTATTGAATAATTGAATCTTAAGCACTTTTTTTACTAAACAAATTATTTGAAGACATAAGCCGTGGTGACGTGTACTCAGAATCTTAAGTTCCGAGAGGCTGAGGAAGGAGGATTGCAAATTCAAGTCCTGCTTGCCTCAAAGAACTGGGAGAGACAAGGCAAAGTGGGGCCAAAAGTTTACCTGAAAAATGAGGCATGAACAGGTAAGGGCAAAAGTGCTCTGTAGAACAAATTTGGACCAAACAAAGAAAGGAAAGGACAAAAGCAGAAATAAAAGTGTACTGGGCTCCCATGAGCAGTCGTGGTGCAGGCTCCTCGGGCTGTCTATGTCTTTTTTTTTCTGTCTGTTTGAGACGGGGTCTCTCTATGCAGTTCCGGCTGGCCTTGGGCTCACTTTGTAGCCCAGGCTGC